TTCCTGGGAAGATGCGGCATGTCGTTGCTTCTTGGCCGCCTGCTCCTTCATCTCCGCCTGGGAACAGAATGAAAGTTTAAGTGCATGCTTCATGTTCATGTGACAGCATGTTAACATGCTCCTACCAAGGAGCATTTGCTCTGCATGCCATGATATCACCGAACCCAGGCCTCGCGGATCAAGCGAAGGTGTTTTGAGCTTTCTGACGGTGCCCCGCCCACCCAGCGGCCCTCACTTTTGAGGGCTTCAATCTGGGCGGCCAGCCAGAGCTTCCTCTTTTTTCCTTTGCTTTTCTTCGACACCGGCTGCTGATCCTGAGGAAGATCCCTTTGCCAGGCATCGGTCCCCCAGTACTTTTGGGCCTGCACATCGACCTTTTCCTCCCACGCATCATACTGCTTCATGATGCTTTGCTCTGGGCCCTTCGAGGAGCTGGACGTCCCCTGCTGCCATTTCCAATCATCTTTCTTCCACCAAGGCCGACTTTTTCCGGAGCTCCATTTGTCTTTCTTCCACGAGGAATATTCGTCCTGCCAATCATCTTGGCTCGCCGGGGCGCTTGGCTCCTCACAAAAGCCTCCTCCGCAGCTTGAAGCGTCTTCGGAGGTGGCAGAGGACACTTCTTTGGTGTGGGCATCGGCTGCGGCTCCACCTTGTCCACCATGCTTTGCCACTTTTGGCCCTCCTCAAGGGCCACTCGAGCTGCATCCGAGCTTTTCTGGAAGCCATAGGCATGCTCTTTTTCCATCTTCACTGCTGTCCTCAGAGCATTCCCAGCCTTGTGCTCCAGCGAAGCCCTTTCCCAGGCATGGCGGGCGCCCTCGTAGTCTTGAGGAGAGCTTAGCTGTCCTTTCTTCTCCAAACTGAAGAGGAAAGAATTCGTTTCTTCCTCGCTGGACACAACCCCCTCGATCCGGGTGCCTTCATGATCCTTCTGAGCCACAATTTCAACATCCGGGCCCCCTTCCAAGGGGAGCTCTGGCTCTTCGGACTCCTCCTCGAGGTCTGCAAGCTGCTCTTCCAACTTATTCTGGTAAACTCCATCGGCATAGCCGGAGTTTTTCCAGGAAGTCCAGTCCCAGCTTGGTTGCTGGGATGCATCCTCAGAAATGCGCTCTTTAGCCCACAGCCTGGTATTAGGCTCCTACCGCATCCAATACCATTGGCAATGAATGTTGATGCAAGTCCGCTTCCTCGAATAGCTCGTTGTCCCACACTTCGGACAAAGTCGAACATCTTGCAGGGCTTCTGGTTCAGCACGGCGGTGCTTGCTGAGCATGGCTGCAAAGGCTATATCGACGTTTCAGGCCTATTAATGATCCATGTCACAGCCTGCATCTCCTATACCACGGAGTTTCTTACATCATGCAGTCTCCTACCAAGGAGTTTCTTCATGCACACTCTGGCTCCTACCAAGGAGTTTAGGAATGCAGCTATAAGTCACATCGACATATGCCGTATGCCACTCATGTCGCAATCATCCTCCAGATCGATCAGGATCCGACACTGCAGCCGGCCATGAAGCATGCATGCACTCGACAATCTTACAATTGCTGTGATCACACATGCTCGTCTCACTGCCGCACAGCTGCTCACACATGAAAACTGCTCCGCCGGCCTCCTGCCAAGGAGATCGCGGCGCAACTCGCTGAAGTCGATGCTAGCCGAGGTCGCCAAAAACCTGCACAGGAAATCGGGCCAGGCCCGCCTCCAGCATGTAGGCGCACACGGGCTTGGCGTACCAGCCCCGTCCGACGAAGGGCAGGCGGTCCAGCAAGCCCTTGCGGTGGTCGCAGGGCAGGTCGACCCACATGAGATCCGCCAGCTTGCCCTCCTCCGCGGGGACGATGCAGTCCAGCGGGCAGAACACCGGCAGGGGGAAGCGGGCATTGGCCAATCCGTTCTTTCGGCAGCGGCACACATCGATGCCCTGACAGGGTCGCAGGTCACTGGCTGCGTAGTTCTGGTACACGTAGCGACAGAACCGGCTCTCGAGGGTGGTGCTGTGGTTGCCCTCGAGGCTCGTCTTGGTTCGATGACACTCCAGGCATATATATAAAGCCTGCAGCTCCTGCTGCTGTCCGACTGGGCCACGGGGATGACGTGATCCATCTCGAAAGTGCCCCGCATCCTCGCAGAGCTCTCGGATCACACAGTCCGCTTCGCCGGGCACCCGCAGCCGCAGCGCGGACCGCACAACCCGCGCATGGAGACCTTGGGGCGGTGCCCCTCCGCCAGCAGCTCCACTCGCACCCCGCGAAGGTTTTCGGAGTAGAAGTATCCTGATTTGATCTCTCCCTCCCAAGCCTGCCACTCCTTAAACTCCGGCACTGGGTTGTCGCGCCTGAGCCGGCGGAAGCGCTGGCGCTGCTCGGACTCGTCGCAGCCGGCCACGGCCCGGGCGCTCCTGTAGAAGAAGGCGTGGCCGTTCCAGGACGTATACGCGACGGCTTTCTCCTCCTTCTCCCCTGGCTGGAAGCAATCCAATAACCGGCCCCTGCAATCGACGTAGAACATGGGAGCGTTGCGCCAGACACAGAAGGTGCGGATCTCTGCGGGGGAGACGCCTCGCTGCTGCCAGTTCCCGGGGCAAATCGAGTTAAAGTCTTCCATGACATGCTGCAGCGGGAGCTTCAGCAGCTCGGCTATTTGCCTGGGCACGCAGAGCATGTCCCGGCGCTCCTCGAAGGCACCCGCCAAAATCTGGTCCCCAGCGAAGAGCTGATAGCTGACCTCCTTGAGAGCCCCCAGCGGTTGGCGGAGGCGGATCTGCGTGTCCACGCGATTGTCGATAACTTGCGTGCTGGAGGAGCTGTAGGCCCACTCGTTGGTGGGGTGCAGGAAGTAGACCTCCCCGGAGATCATGTAGATGGGTTCGTTAGGCCCCGGCTGCCCCAGCTGTCGGAGCACGGACTCCTTGACGTTGCGGGCGACCTGCGCCTCGCTCCAGGCGTCGTTCTGGCGGGACAACCCCATCTCCAGCGCAGTCACGGGCAGGTAGTCATGACGCTCGTAGGGGGTGCCATTCCGCCGGCGGCCCCGGATTATCACGGGCACATGAGCTAACCATTCTGTGAACTTGTCTTTGAAGAAGGCCTTTCCCAATTTTGTGACATGGTACTGGCCGTTGGGCTGTAGGGACCTCACGAGCTTTCGGGCGCCCCCCCTCGTCAGGATGTAATCGTTGGACCCGTCCCGAATGAGAGGCTGAGATTCATCGAACTGGCGGCTCGGCGGTCGCCGACCGGTGATGCTGTGGTAGAACTGCCCGGCCCGGGTCAGCTGGCCATTGGGTCGAGACAACAGTACGGACTGCAGGCGGTTGTCCCTCAGAGGCAGAAGCTGCGAGCCTTGCGCTGAGATCCGTGGTCTGGCCCCAGCGTCGGCTGCACGTCGTATCGCTTCGCGTTGTTGCATCCACGACATGATTTCTAGGAGCCCAGAAAAAAAATACTGGCCCGCCGAACGAGCCGGGGCGAGACAGCTGAGACAGGTGAGACAAGAGGCTAACTAGACTAAAGCTGTTTCATGGGTGTCTCAGTTGTCTCATGCTCGGTTTTCGAGTTAATCTTTCAAAAAACGCCCAAAAACGAGCCTGAGACACTTGAGACAGCCCTGAGACAGCTTTAGTCTATTTAGCCTCGTGTCTCACCTGTCTCAGCTGTCTCAGCTGTCTCGGTGGCCAGCGGCGGGGGTGGGGTGGAGGGTGGGGTGCGAGGCTCAGAAAAAAAGAATGGCAGAGAGCCGCACGAGCCGGGGCGAGACAGCCGAGACAGATGAGACAAGAGGCTAACTAGACTAGGGCTGTCTCATGGGTGTCTCGGATGTCTCATGCTCGGTTTTTTGAGCTAATCTTTCGAGAATACGCCGCCGACCCAGATTGAAACAAATGAGACAGGCCTGAGACAAGTTTGCTCTATTTAGGCTCTTGTCTCACCTGTCTCAGCTGTCTCAGCTCCCCTCCGGCTCCGGCAGATCAGAAGGGGCACCGCTGGGGCTCCTCTTCCTTGAGCATGAGATCGGTCACTTCAATCAGCAGGCCGCATTGGCCGCTCATCATCCAGACCTGCCGGAGTTCGGCCCGCACCTTGCACTCCCGGTTGGTCAGGTCCCCGGGTTCCTGCAGCGGCCCTCCCTGGGCGTCCCACCAAACGCACCTGATCAACACAGACCTTGAGCTTGATGAAGCTGTTGCCTCGGGCGGAGGTAAGCGGCTCTCCGTTCGCCGCCTCGTTGGGCTCCAGGCACAGGGGCAGTCGCCGGGCGTCCTCGCCGTTGTAGGCCGTGGGATGCCACAGAATTCGGATCCAGTCGCACTGCCAGACCGCCGGGCCACCGTCCTCCGCGAACACGGGGAAGAACTTGCCGCCCTGCGGAAAAGTCCGTCTTGATCCAAAATGGACAGCACGGACCGTTAAAGTGTGATGCAAGCATACAGAACTTAACGGCAGGTGCTTCTACTAAAGAGAACAGAGTGGAGCACAGCGGTCTTTTCAAGCTGGGGTTCACGGTGCCTTCTTGTCTGCCTCCACGACTGCAAGTGACTAAGATACACCAACCAAAGACAAACACCTGCACTGTCCTGCGATGTCTGTCAGCAGTCCTGAAGGCGAGTCTGCCCACTCTGCCAAAAGTCTGAGAGTCTAGCCACCTTAAGCGTCCTGCGAAGGCCAAACACTCTGCTGCAGAAAAACTGTCTGTCTGCAGGGCCCTCAAGCAGGTGGCTTCCACTTCCTTTCTGCGACTCTTTGTGTTCTGCAAGCAGACCGGCTGAGACGGCTGCTTAGGCAAAGTGTAGGCTATTCCAAGACTGACGAAGCTTTCTGCAAAACTTGTCGCCTTAGACCCCGTGAGGGCCGCCTGCCAGCCCAGCAGTCTGAAAAACAGAAGGAAGGAGGCCTCTACGTTGGCTGCATCGGCTGACAAACAGACTGAAGTGAAGTCATCGAAAAACACGGTGACTGGCAAGAGCAGCCACTCGACTGCGATGTGCCAGAGGGCTAGGCTACACGGTGCACGGAGCCAGTGGCTTTGAAAGGCAGAGCACGCAGTGCCAGGACTACGCGTCTGTTGTTGACTGGATCCCAGACTGCAACCTTGCAAAACTGCAAATCGTCTGCGTTCACGCCTAGTTGCTTGTAAGCAGCTTTCAAGTCAAACGTGCGACCCCTGAGACTGCAAGCAGTGCTTCCTGGAGAAAGTCTGGCACACACTGACTGCAAACGCAGAGCTAGGGCTAAAGCGCAGGCTGCGGGGTGCACCACTATCTTCTCGGCTACGCCAAGAGTCTGATTCACGAGGCTGATCGACAAATCGTCGGTTGGTCTGACTTTGTCTCCCTGCTTGACTGCAAAACGTCTGCCGAGAACGCAGGATGAGGGAGCCTCCACGTGACCTGTCTCTAAGACTGCCCAGCCTGCTTGGCACTCCTGCAGCGTCAGGTCCCACAAAGCCTGGTCCAAGTCTGGGTCGCCACCGGGGCCACACCTGGACCACACGTTGTGAGAGGATCTGGCCTCCCAGACTTCGTCCCTGTGCAAGGCTGGGGGAGAAACCTTGGTCGGTCTGGCCTCTGTGTCTGGCAGCCAACCTGTCTGAGACGAGTGTCTTGTCTGGGAAGTTGGTGCTCTGCAGAAGGCAGTCAAACAACCTCAGGCGCTTTCCTTTAAGGATATGCTGCATGTGAGGCTGCAGCGCCTGATGGTCTGAGTCTGCGAACTCCTGCAGTTCTCTGGCCTTGTCTGCCATAGCTCTGAGACGCTGGCAGCGTAGGGCCTGGATGTCTGCAAGACTGTCAGAGCCCAGACGGTCCACTACTGCCTGAAGCTCTGGGGGTGCCTGCACTCGGCTGCTCTCTGCAGAAAAACTTCTGGAGACACTGGCACCCCTACAAGAGCCCACCACTGACCGTCAAAGACCGAGGTCTTGATGGTAGTGGAGCCTGTAGCAAAACGACTTCCTGTGAGGCGCAAGCCTGGCACGAACAGGAGCCTGTCAGTGGCAGACACAAGTCTGACCCACTGTTTGTCTTGGAAAGGATCAAGACTGACAGGACTGTGAGTGGCTTTAGGGAGCATGCCCAAAGAAGCTCTTTCGCTGGCTGCATAACGAGCAGTGCCGGGACTGTCAGAAGCCCTTTTCAGCACTCCTTGTCTCTCAAGAGACTGAGTGAGCAGACTGGCCCAATGGCTGCAGAGGGCTTTTGGGTAGGCTGCCTCGGTTGACGTCGCCCAGCCTTCTGCTGTTTTGCCCCAAGGCAAGTGGTTGTGACCAAGTTCTGGACTGCACCTTAGCTGCAATGACTGTACGGGGGGGTCGCTGGCCCAGAAAGTGGTGGCCTTTTTACGAGACCCGCCGTACACGCAAGAGTCGAAAGTGGCAAAGTAAACGTTGCCTTGTAGTTGCTTCCACAGAGACTGAAGAGGGCTGGTAAGCCAGAACAGGCTGGACTGCGGGTTCTCAAGAGACCACGCAATATTGCGGCTGTGACAAAGCAAGGTAATTTCAGAAGTAAGCTGGTACAGTCTGTTGGCTGACCTGACCTTGTGACGGTGTCTGAAAGGCAGGCCTGGTAGTCCATCTGGGTGAGCTGCACTACGCAGAGGGACTGGAGATCCAGGTCCTGCGTCTATGTGCCTGGCTGCACTACTGGTACTTTTTGACTTTGAAAACGCGGGCGAGGCTGTAGTCTCTACCATGCGCGCGGGTGGCACGTGAACAAGTCCTTTAAGACCCGGTCTACATGTACAACTATTGTGCACATGTGACTGCGCACAGGTATTCTGCACACATTCTGCCATCGGCACGAGTGCCAGCATGGCGCTCCGACACGAGTGTCAGCGAGCCGTCAAACATGAGAGTACGGTGCAAAAGACAGCGTTAAGCATCCAAGGACAAATAAATAATATGGCAACCACTGCTACTCTGACTACGCTCACGAGTTGTAGGCCGTTTGGCCTTCACTTTGTCATTTGTAACAAGCTGGGTCCCATCATCATGCAAAAGAAAGCTGCGATAGTGCCCCGATGTAGGAGCATCCCCAATGTGGCAAGTAACAGCACGGACCCGGAAGGTCACCCAAGCAATGGAGCCAGCTCGAAACATTGGCAGATCACATTCGGCGTCGACCTGCACCGGCAGTTGGCACTTCTGAACCGTTGTATCCAGGACTTGGAAGCGCTGTAGCACGATGCAGACATGTGTCTCAAACTCGTGAATGCAGGAGTAGCACGTTTTGTTCGCCCAGATTCGTGAAGGCTTGCTGTGCCAAGTCGCGACACACTCCCTCAGAGTGCATCGCTCATCACCGGCTCCACCTGAGAAACCGGCAGAAATCGGCATAGCAATAATCCCTGACCCAGAGTCCTCCAACTCAAAAGCAGCACCTGCACTACTGGTACCGCAAGGCGGCGCTAAGTGGACTGCTGCGACCCTGCCTGAACGCAAAAGTTCAAAAACAAGCTTTTGGCTAGAGGGGCGGCTGAGGTCAAGACGCAACGAAGGAACTCCCTGAGGCTCCACTGTGTCAACTGCCAAGACTTGCAAACCGACTTTCGAAAAGGCTTTGGCCATGCGACCTGTGCCTGCAAAAACCTCAAGGAAAAGAGAGCCGTGCTTGCTTGTCTGAGCCGGCTGGAGAAACGTTCTGTGCCGAGGGCGACGCGCTCATGGTCTCCTGACAGGGTGCTGCTGAAGTTCCTGAAGCAGAGGCAGAGGGCAGCTGTGTCAAAACAGGTTCACCTGGGCTGTCAGGGGTTGGCTGAAGGCTTTCTGTTGTACTTTGTGGTGGCTCGGGCGCTAACACAGTGACTGACTCAGCAAGGCAGGTGTCGTCTGTGAGAACTGCTGCACGTAGCTGGGCTGCAGTTGCTGCGCCTTGCCACGAGAGTCACTTGTCACAAGCAGAAAAGGAGTGATCTCCATGACATTTCATGCAAATGTGCAAACCACGGCGGCAGCTGAGGCCTAAGTCTGTCTGCCAAGTCTCTTCTGAGCAACCATGAGGCAGGCTGCGATTGAAGCAGATGGGCTTGCCTTTGAACTTGGGATCGAGTCCCTTAAGGGCTGCAGGCAGGGCTGTCTGAATCTTGTCTTTGCCCTTGCCTGTGCCCTTGCCCTTGTCATTCTTGCCTGTCTGCCACGCCTGAGACATGAACTTGTCTTTGCCCTTGCCTTTGCCTTTCCAGGGTTTATCGTCCCCTTTGAAAGACTGGTCCCAGGTGCGCTTGAAAGGCTGCTTGTCTGGCTTTTCAGGTTTAGGCACCGGCACCAAAAAGTAAGCAACTTGCATGATGTGCTGCCACGTCTGAATGGCTGCATCAACTGCGCCCGATTGACCAGGGGCTGTGAAGTTGCTCTTCACCGCTTCTGAAACCCTGATCCACATCTCTCTGTCTGCTCTCAAGAGCGAGTCGATCCCTGGTGGATCAAACTTGGGAGGAGGCGGCCTGTGCAAGTGCTCAAGCAACGAGCGCGAGTACTCTTCATGAACCTGAAAAGAGCAAACGCCTGCCATCTCCAAGGCCAGACCTCGTCTGCTGAGAGCCTGAGACACACGCAGCTCAGTGGACAAGTCCACTTTAAGCGGCTGCGGTTTGACTGCTAGCCTCAAGGCTGCATTCTCCAATCTCAAGAGATTTTCATCTTTCTTCACATTAAGGGACCTAATTACACTTTTTTCAGGTGTCTCTTCGGGACACCTCTTGAGCCTGACAAGGTGCAATCCCGGAATCGAAGCTGCTCTGGCAATCCCATTCCTGTAACACGTCGACCGAGCTCCCAGCATTCTGAAAAGTTGGCCGCGGCTTCCCGCGGAACCTGGGTGCCATACCTGCAAGCACGGGACCATCGAATAAACTGGCACGAGCGACTCTGTGTGCGCAAGTGACTCACGGCCGCGAATATGCCGTCCAACATGGCCTGGTGTACGTCTTCAACTGTGCCAGGACTGCGATTGCCGCCAGCCTGTGGTACCCTTGCGCAAGGCGGCGGTAGTGCATCATGCCAATAAAGCCATGTCGACCTGAAAATTCCCATGTCCGCTGACTAGCGCCCATGAAGCTAAGCTAATGCCACAGTGCGGTTTCATGTCAACTAATGGCGAACGCATCCGGCAAACTGGCTCTGAATATAGTGTGGTCGAAGCTAACACTGCAAAAAAGGCGGCTGCTGAGCCACACAGAGGGAGTTGACGACTTTGTCACAAACTCACTGGCGGGCTGGGATGCTGGATCAAACCTCTAAGGACCGTATGATGCAATGCGCAAGCTACTGCTCAATCCGAGCGGTCAATGAGACAGGGCAATTCCGCGATCAACCGGACCTGCTCTGGTGACGTGCCGGAGGGCGCCTCAGGCGGCACACTTTTGAGATAGCCCTTGGCGCCTGACATGCCCCAGGACAACTTGTATGACTGCATGGTAAATCAGTAGATGTGCTGTGCGAATGCCCATGACAATATGCTGCGAGAGAGCAGTCAGACAGTTCATCACGAGTGTGCTGACAGTGTCTCTACTGAGCAAGCAGCGGTCACGAATGGGGCAGATCCAAATCTTCACTTTCGGGTCCTGACCTGTGCAACCTGCAGAAAGCCGCATCACCTTACACAGTCACTGTCATGCTTCGCATACTGCCGATCACCGCCCTAGGCGTAGGAGGTGGCAGGCAGCTACCCCGTCGCAGTAGCAACGTTTGCAGACAGCAACGGGCTCTAACACCTTTCGGGCTACATGTTGACAGCCTCCCTGAAATGTGAAGCAGCACCCGAGCTGCAGGTAATCCCCAGCGAGGCTGGCACGTCACAGGCACCAACCAACGACTTGTTGGTAGAATCACGGCACGCCGTCTCTGCCATGCCAGCAGATCCAGGACAGCGCCTTGCAACAGAGGCAAGCGCACTGATGCTCGTCCATAACAAATCTGTTTGGAACCGCACCATTCCACACAAACGTCACGGTCAAATAAATCAAATAGGCTGCGTAACTCACATCGACCCATACACACAAAGCCCGCCCTGCACAACGTGTGAGGTCAGAACTATGTAAGCAGTCCGATGACGGGAAGGCACTTGCATCGGGTGCGGCGAATATCAGGAACAGCTTTGGGGCGTAACGAGAACCGGTCGGAAGACACCGTAACGGAAACGAGCGGCCGAGTTAACAGCGACCAGGCGACGAGCATAACACGAACGAATAGGAACCGTCATCGGAAACATGGGCGGGAGACTTTTATGATCTTAAAAGTAGGGAACCGAAAACCGGTCCAACACGGGCATCCCTGAAGAAGGCAAATAAAAATGGACAAAGACATCGAGGCATTGGGGCACGCTGACACACATGCGTGTGCTGCTACATGGATACTCAGTAGGTTCACACAACCAACCTTATGTGTGTGTGTCTCGCATGCAGGCAGAAACTGATAGACAGGCAGGCTGACAATCGCAACAGCATTCGCTTGTTGTGTAGCTTCATAGGTTCAAGATGACGCAAGAAAAATTGAAATGCTTGCAGATACGGTCATATGTCCCCTCATGTGTGCACGCATTTGTTTGTCACCCAGGTGAAGTCCGCGAACCCCTATAGTGGGAACCTTGCAAATAGAACATGATATTTCAAGCACGTGCAGATAGAATACTTTTTAAGTTTGGTAAAATGACCGATTTTTACCAACCCTCCGCAGTTGCAGATGGAATATTTCCATCCGCGTAAAAAAACAAGGAATATCTTCGGCCACTTTTACCAACGCACGCACTTGCAGATAGAATATTTCCATCCGTGTAAAACCAATCAGATAGAATATGATCGAATATTGTTGTTTCTATGTGACCAGCCATCCGCACTTGCAGATAGACTTGCTCATATACCAACCCCTAGAACTTGTGATGCGTTATATAACAGGTGAACAACTGCGCGCTCGCTGCGTCTGACCTGCTGAACCCAGGACATGGCTGCACAAGGGAAAACCTAGCTGTCTCTGCTGAAAAGTCCGTCTTGATCCAAAATGGACAGCACGGACCGTTAAAGTGTGATGCAAGCATACAGAACATAAATGAGGTGGTCCCAAAGTGGTAGAGAAGGTATAGATAAGGCAAATGTAACGGTATTTCTGTTTAAAGGGTCCCCCGCCCTCCTCGCCCTCACTCTCACCACCCCCTCCGCCCTCACCTTCCCAATCGTAAGGATAAGCTGTAACAATGAAATACAGAGCTCACACCGGGAGGCTCGGCACCGACGAATCAATCAGCTTCCAGATGCTTCCTTTTTCCCACCTGCATGAAAAAGCATAATCTTCAACAGCCGCAGGCATTTAGAATGAAATCACTCCATCGTTATCGTTGTCAATAGGCTGGTCACCCTTGGGTGCTCAGCGTTATCGTTGTCAATAGGCTGGTCACCCTTCGGGTGCCTCAGCCCTGTTTTTGGGCGGCACGGAATCTGCCAAAACAGCATGCGGATCAGGGCTGGTCCAAGAACCGGGGCGCGAGAGATCCGTCCTGGGCCAAGAGCCGCTAGGATCATCATTAGGGGGATCACGCACATGTGCGCGACAACTTCGAAGGAGACCCCCAACCACGCTTCACCAATCCAGCCTGGGAGAAGCAGCACGCAGACTTTCACACATCTCTCTGCGAATGCCTTTGACTCGACTGGATGACTGAGGAAGATTATTGGCCAAAGCAGGGCTTCAATACCAGCAAACACCCTCAAGAGCCATCCCATGACCATGCCATCTTCCATAATCCTGTAAACGTACACCTGTCGGAACTGCCAGATTAACCCGAGAGCGGTCACAGAGAACAAGGCTCTGCTCCAATCCGACATGTCTTTGAGTTGACCCGTCACCTCCAGCACCGAGCGGGTCTGCACGGTAGAAATCTTGATTGCAATCAACGAAGCTATCATGTCGTCAATGGCATCTACTTGCTCATGTTCCTCAATCTCGTGAAGGATTCTTCGGAGATCTTCGGCACTAGAGCTTGTGGCCTGCCTGACGGTTCCTGCGAAGCCCTTTGCGAGCTGATCTGCTTGCTGCAAAGCTCTTGTGGTGCGGTGCCAGTCCACCTCCAGCCCCGTTGATCCAACGCCTATCAACACAAGGCGAAAAAGATTTGGCAGATTAGTCAAACCATCGAAGGAGGCCCTCATCGCTATGGAAAATGTAAGGGAGGCAGTCATACAATGAATTGCTATTGGGATTGTCGCCGTCGCTCTCCTGAAGCAGCAGGTGAAGGTCGTGGTCAGCGACGAAAAGGCAACGAGTGATAGGCCCGTGCAAGTGAAAGCAAGCCACAAGTTCTCGTGCAAAGCCCAGTTGTCCCAGCTTATGCCGTACCACTCGAGTCCTGGTAGTGGATACAACATGCCCGCTCCGAAGCCAGCGAAGCCAGTGCTTACAACGCGAAGTGTCCTGGGCCATTGGTTTAACAAAGGCCGCTGTGCAAGCCCAATTGGCTTGTCCCAGGCAGCAGCCAAAAACGCCTCGTAAACGCACCTTGGCTGACTTGTGAGCCCCTCCACAAAGTTTGCCACTTTTTTCCCAAACAATAGAGAAACACCCAAAAAGCTAAAGGCGTGAGAACCAACCACAGAACAGCCAAGGCACCAAACCCTTGTGTAAATACTGGACACATGATTTGGCACCACGAGCATGGACGACGACTTACTCAAAGCAGTGGCAAATGGCGACTCTCTCGGCGACTGTATCAAATCCGCAATGTCCAGGTTTTGTGGATTGGACAGGAAGCAAACGTACGCCCCTCTAGCTGCTCTTGGCCAGGAACTCACAACCTTCTCGACAAAGTCAAAAACGCCCTCAGCCCAGCCGTGAGTGACGAACAGGTCGCATAAGCACCCCTCAGGGTGCTTCATCAACGCCCAACTGACATTTCCAGCAGCTGCAGTCACCGGCCGGATCATCTGATCGTTGACAGTGTATGCCGATGGCCCTACCATTACGTCTGATGCAGAAAACTGGTCTAGATCTGTTGGCCTGATACTCCCTGACTTCACAGCATGATGCACCAACCGCTTGAACTGGTACAAGTCGTCCAAGCTCACACCCCACTTTGCTTGCTCCACTGTTCTGTGTACGACCGCACCGTCATGCACGAGTTGCGGACAAAGAACATGAAGATCTTCTTCTGTAGCAGGGGCTATGCTTGGGCTGTGGCAGTAGATCATCAGGCTGGTTGTCAACACACCAAGACCACCTAGGATAGTCAAAGCAACAGCGAGCGGAAGCCAAATCACGATATCTCCACACCCGTCGGAGTTGCTTTCTCCTCGGCAGCAGGTGTAAGCAAGCTCGCCCAAGTGACTCACATTTGGAAGATATCCCACTGCGAGAGGGAAGTATCCTGGGAAACAAACACATCGTTGCGTTAGAGTGCCACCTTTGCACAACCATTCCTCTTGATACGCCCTGCGATGCCATGGACATACATTTCGCTCACCAAAGGATCCATCCGGGCACAGATTGTAGTTTTCCGGTGGAAAATCGGGCAGGACCTCCGTTGCCGGAAGGGGTTCGAAGGACTGGCTGTGGTTCTCCATGCTTGACAAAATCTCCTTGAAGAAAACTTGGTCACTTGAGGTTGAATTGTCTCGGGATCCAAGCTGAACTTGTGGCCATCCAAACCAGCTCAGGTCCTGCCAGTCTGGCGCTGTGCGATTGCGACCCAAGTCGGTAATGTTGTGACCGGGCAGGTCGAAGACGTAAGCAGTGTGGACGTGTCTGATGTGGTCATCTTCCCAAACCCAATCCATGCCTGGCTGGCCTTCTTGACAGGCGCGGAGCCATAAGGGGCGCCCGTGGTGATAGTAGTATGCCCTGTCAAAGGTGACACACATCGCTTGGAGGGTCCCATCACCGTCATCAAGTTGCTCGAGGTTGACAAGCCATGTTTTGTTGAAGTACCAAACATCATTTGAGTTCCGTCCCCTTGCGGCTGAGCCGGCTGAGCATTCTCGCAACTCCAGGAAACGCTGGTAGTAGTCGGAGCGGGTGATGCACTTGTGTGGGGCAAGAGCGCTGCGAATTTTGAAGAACTCAGTCGAGGCGACTTCCGCAAGAGATGCCGCAAAGAGCCAGGCCCAAAGAAGTGAAAAACTGGCCATTGCTCTGGGGCTTAGTGCGGAAGCTGCCGAGTCTTGGGCCTGTGAGTGCATGAACAAGCCCGATCGGCCTGGCCCTGGCTATGAGGACATCATGAAGACAACATACATTGGGGGCTTCTGCATGTGACGAATGTCGCGGATTCTTCGTTTTGAAGCGATTGCGCCTGGCTTCGTCAGCCTGTGCACATCTTTGCACTGGGCTGGCACGGAGTGGGGATCCGCGCTCTGGCAGTCGCAAAGAGCAGCTGCCAAGGTCTGCTCGTCCACAGCTTGCGGCGCTACTTCCACATCCGCCATCAGAGCGAGACCGACATGACGATCATCAAAGGGCCGTCCTGCTCTGTTCCGGTCCGGTTGCATCCCAACGCACTTCTCAATGTCCTAGCCCTGCCTTCGACATCTTGTTTGTGGGCAGACTCAGATGAAATGCTTCTTCTCGTAGTATCTCATCCTGACAGCCGTGCGGGACGACACGCGTCTTGACCGGAGGCTGTCAGTGTCCTGTTCCACATCAGTACGCCAATTGTCACCGTGGCCACTAGAAGAACCACCAGCATCCAAGACCTTCAGCATTCCCCGTATTGAAGCCTTAGAGTGCTGCTACGGCATGACCCGGACAAATTCTTTGTCTGCGACTGGACCTTGACATTCCTATTGACAGCTTGTACTCAGTAAGTGCAACACATCTGCGAACTTCTGGACACAACCTGGGCGCTTGAACGTAACACTGATGCAGCCTAAGGGTTTCACGGCATCAGGCCTTGAGTTGCACACGCTCTTCTCGAGCACAGAAGTTTGGTCGACTATCTTCGAGATGGACGACCCGGCGGCCTGATGCACAGGTTAGTGTCTTATGGCCCGCTCACTGAGTACACGCATTTGCCTTGTCGGTTTGCTGCTTGACTTCTTTCAAATTCTTCTGCACGGCCTCGACCACCGCTTACTGAGGGCGTAATCTGAAACGAATGAGTGCAAGGTGCTCAGACCACCAGACAGGAACTTGAGATGCTCAGGCAAGAACCACTGCAGGTATGACTCACAGCTCTTAGTTCCCCGAATGACAAAGATCGAGAAGGAGAACCAGATCCCATGGCCTCAAGCTTGTGCATGTGAGCTGCCCCCTCCTGGTCACTTTTCTGAATCCTATGATGCATCTGAAGACATGCGTCCGTCACCCACCAAAAATCCTTGTCCAGTAGCCTGCGGAGGCCCATAATGTGGACCTGATGTGCATATGTATATATATATATAACATTCTAATCTTCTTGTAGACAAAGTGCATCCAACACTTGTAATTATCAAAGCAACCGAACGGGAGATGTTTCGACATCTGCACAACCAATCAACGCACCTTCATCTCCTGCAAATTTGTCGCCTTCTTTGGAGTCCTCGGCACATCTGAGAGTCATGCATAACGGGATGAAGGAACAGTTTGCGGGCAGATTAGTGGCTTTCTGCATGCGCCCTGCTCTGCCAAAAGCTGGCACAACTGGGATCCGGAAAAGAGGCATGTGTTTATGTGATATGTGCGTATTTTCATGGAGGTGATCTGCAATACGAACAAGAAAACGAATTATAGAAAAACAACATATGATACAATTTACAAGTATATACATGTGTATATATATATATATATGTGTGTGTGTGTATACAAACTCATCGGGCCCGAGTCGCCCCTCGAGGGAATCTGAAGAGAGGAGAAGAGAGGAGAAGAGAGGGAAAAGAGAGAAGAGAGAGAAGAGAGGGACAGACACAGGCCCACAACAATGGGTAGACAGGCAAGCAGGACAGACAGACAGACAGACAAACAAACAGACAGACAAATTGACGGACGGACGGGACAGGACGGGACAGGACAGGCAGACAGATCGACCGGCAGACAGACAGACAGACAGACAGACAGACAGACAGACAGGAAGACAGACAGAGAAAAAGGAGGAAGGGTAGAAACGGCCTTTACTGAAGAGAAAGACATCCGCAAATATCTGCAGAGAGGGAATAAACTCGTATGGCTCCATGGAAGGCACTTTGTGTAGCTGTGCTTCAGTGAGCCTTAGGACACTTTTCTGAAAACAAGGCTGCACTTGCTGCACCTTTGGGCCTGAAACAAGGGCGCATGGCTCCAGCGGACAACGCAGCGCCAGCCCACCCGTGAAAGTGAAGCAAGAGTCCGTGGTTCAACGTTGCAACGAGACGGCTGCTATTCTGACTGTGGTGAGCTTGTTTGCCTCCAGCCCTCAGCCCCTGTGAGTGCAGTGATTGTCCATCCGTGGCGTTCGTCAGGGTTGATTGGTACGCAAGCCTGGCCCTGGCACCGCGTCGCCGAGGATTGAAGCGGCATGCCACACACGTCGTGACGCGAAGACCCGGGCTCGGCAGCAACTGGGCTCGGTGCTTCGCGCTCTTCGGATCTGAAGCGAGGACCTGCATCTCTTTCGTCAGGAGACGGCAGTCGCTGAAGGAAAGCAACACTGACCCAATCTGTTTGGCTGCAACCGAGGAGGTAAGGCAGCTGCTTGTTCAGGGACTCCATGAGGCTTGAGACCTGGAAGGCCATCACATCGTATGTCGGCCTGGCAGCACGTCACGGTGACGGAAGCTCGGGCTCGGCCCTGGGGATGCGGCTTCGTCTCGTTCAAGTGTGCAGACAACCTCTGTCCAAGGACTGAATGTCTTCATAAGAGTAAGACTAAGAGACGATTGCAAGAAGCGACAGGGAGTCAGGCATTGATGTTCTTCTTCCGATGTGCTCCGTCTGAGCTTGCTGGTCCTGGAAGTATCTCGAATCCTCTGACATCAGCGCTTCGTACCTCACACCATCAAGTGGTACTGCTTGCTATGCAACTGCCGTTTCTGAATCCTGCTCTTGATGTCACTCTGGAGCACGCAATCTTATCCTTGGCACTGGTCCCCATGATGTCTTCACCGACTGCCTGGACAGCAACTCGAGAGGTCGAGAGCTGATTCCACTTCACAGCGACAGCGAAGAGGCATACACTCACATCCAGACTGCTTCCCAAACCTACCGCCCGCTGTCATGTGCACAAACAAGTGCCAGGGGAGGAAAAATGGCATAAAGGCATAAAGTTTATAAAGGAGACCTGGTCATCGAAGTTCACCACCTGCACCTGCAGGAGGCCCCATATCAATTTGCAAAGTAATCCGTTGATTGCACCCAGGCACGCAGCCTTTGTCAGTGACACGCCATCCGGAAAAATTTGGTGGAAACTGCTGAACCTTCCGACATGAGCAGGACTTGTTTTGCCAACTTACCATGCCCCTGAAGATGCCAGTCATGAAGTTTGCTGATCATTGATGGTATGCCATTAATATCCGAGAATCTGTAACTGAGCAATAGAGCGGCGGGAGTGGAGGGGGAGTGGAGAGCAAGTGGGGGGAACAAACATAACTAATAGACTACATCCAAGCAGCGGCAGCTGCTTGGAAGCCTCGTGTGCTGTTGGGGCCGTTTGTTCATCTGTTCTGGACTTCCGCAAGCAAAGCTGCTTGTGGGCTTGGGGCCTTCCTTAGTGCAGGTCGTGCAGAGGCCGGCTGGCACTCAAGTAGCCGGGGTCGTCAAAATCGGGCAGACTCTTGACATCCAGCCTTATGGGACACCTGCAGGACAAAAGAAGTACAGCGGCTACTTCTTATGTCCTTTAGGTATCCTGTTAGGCTTGATGCCAAGTGTCTGCAAGATCTTCGGCATGACTCAGACACTCTGCCCTGTAGGACTTGCACTCCGAGAGCTTGGAGCCTCCTCCTCCTTTGTTCCGCTGCATGTTTGCACCTACCACCCGCACGAAAGGCGATGGGCGTCGACATTGCTCCTCCATGCTGAAGCAGGCTTAGCGAGACTTCTGGTGTCCTGCAGGTGTCCTATCAAGCTTGATGTCAAACGTCTGTGAGATTTCGGCAATAGAGGGTCACAGCAGGTCAAGCCAGCTCAGCCTGGAACTTCAACAGAAACCCAGCAGACAGTCTAAAACAACGGCAGATGCAATCAAGCGACCGCTCCAAGCTGTAAAGCCGATGTAGCCGCCTGCCTCAGCTGTAATTTCGATAGCAACATGCATATGTCTGGAGGATCGGAATTCTAAAAGTCACACAACATGCCCAGATGGAAATATATGGACCGCAGATCTTTAAGGAGGCGGCCTTCACAGGAAAGTTCTTTCGATCTACAATGAAGCATTCTTCGGTTTTGCCATCAACAGTGATCTGGCCCTGGCGCATGCTCGTTCTGAGACAAAGGGTGCTGACAACATGTTTGTGGAGCAATGGACATCCCGAAACTTGAGAAATCGTGCCTGCACTGAGACGGGCTGCACCCGAAGCTTGAACTCGACGTCCTTGTTCCTGATACCCCAGACTTTGATGGTTGTTGTTGCCTTTGCAGGACAGGTGTAGGGGCACGACAAGCAAGTTGTCTCAGACAGCAGCTGATGGAACCGACCCTGGCTTCTTTGCGAGGTTTGCAGTCGAAAAAACCTGGTCAACAGAAGTCGCGTGAACTCACTGTGCGCCCAGCAGCTCCGATTCAAAAAGCGCCTTCGCCGTTGATGTTGAAAAGTGCACAAGGCGCTGCGAGTCAAGTGTAACCCCGCTCCTTCAGGCCCTTCGACCAAGAAGAGGCCTGAGGTACATGAGACACTGATTGCATGTGCATTGCAGGAAGTTTCCAAAACGGTGGCTTTTCGCCTAACAGGTTCCAAGGCTCCGTGCACGGATGGCAGCAGATTCGTTGAAGTGACCAGATATGTTCTGCCGGACAAACCAGAAAGCGAAGCTTTGGTCATCCGCGACCGGCAAAAGTGTTTCAAGGTGCGTCCATCTGTGGCATGACAAAGCCTTCGAAGGATCTCCAGCTCCAGAAGTACGAAATGAAAAGCTAGCCTGCTCGAACACGAGGCATGAAAAGACGGATGCAATATTTCCTCAACGATATGTTCGTTGTTCGAAGCCGACATGGAGCGCAATGCATAAAAATCGGACTTGCCGACAGAAACGCTGTCAAGTTCGAGAACACAACAAGCACATAGCATTTGTGGCACGCGATAAAACAAAGAAATCTACTGCATTTCTCCTCGCTTCATAAGCTCGTGCAAGCGGCTGACAAAGAAAACTCTCGAGTGTTTTGTTGCCCCGACATGGATTGTCTTGGTTGCATTTCACGCAGATACACAACACATGATGTGGAACAACTCTGTCCCACAACATCAAGTGTCGTGCTCGGTTGCAACCTCTTGGCTGAAAAGATACCTCGAACATGTACGGACCAGTAAACGACACCTAAGCGCTCGTTTATCAAAACAAAACGAAATTGAACGTGTATTTTAACGTCAGTAGCGACACAGCCTGCAAGGCTCTGCAAATCAGTTTTGATTTCTGTCCACCAAAAACGGCTCATTTGCTGGCCTCTTAAGGTGGATCGGATCCGAGAATGTGTTTCTCTTTGGCGACGTTTCTCTTCGCTTTCCCGGGTTGAACCCAAACCCATCGACCCAAAACCCCTCCAAATTGCACAAGGAGATGGCCTCTACGCCCTACGCGCTCTTTGCAGCACGGTCGAAACAGAAGAGGGTCGGCACTTCGAAATTCAGAGAGGTGGTTGACCCAAAACCAAGGTGACCGGCCGTCCTTGCCCGTCGAACAACGAGACACCTTCCAACCGTTACCCACCACACTGTGACCACCCGAGTCTCGATCTCGCCGGGAGGCCAGCAGACACTCCTTTTCCTGGGCCAAACTCCTCCCTCAAACAGAATGCATCGAATCATACTGGTTCAAGTTGGAATCTGTTGGATCCCAATGTGGCCTCACCAGCAGGTGCTGCAAAAAAATGTTTCGGCATGAGGCAATATGTTTTTTGCGAAAAAAGAATGGGTGGTGGACTTGTTGAGGAAGGTTTGGGGAGGGTGCATACGTTTGTGGACGAAGTGCAAAAAGAGCTTGGTATTTGCTTCGGTTGGCTATCGGGCAGGAAAAACGGGAGCATAGGTTTCTGGGTTCGAAACACTTGGGAGGGCCCGAGGCGGGGGCGAGGGAGGCGGAGAACATAACACTAGAACTTAGGGTTGAACCCCAAGTTCGAACACCTGGAACCGGAGTTGAACTCCGGGTTCGAACACAGTGTTCAAACTCCGAGTTCGAACACTGGTGTTTGAACCCCAAGCTCGAACACCTGTGTCAACCTCGAGTTCGAACACTGGTGTTCGATTTCCGGGTTCGAGCACGGTCTATAAAACGCTTTTACGAACACAAAAAGAAGAGAAGCCACACGAAATCGCTTTATGGGGTGTTCGAACCCTAAGTTCGAACACCAGTGTTCGAGCCTCAAGTTCAAACACTGGTGTTCGAACCCAGAGTTCAAACACTGGTGTTCGAACCCCAGGTTCGAACACTAGTGTTCGAACCTTGATCTCGAACACCAATGTTCGAACCCGGGAGTTCAAACACGTTCTAACCTCGAGTTGTGCTCGAACACTGGTCTACAAAACGCTTTTAAACAAACACAAAAGAAGAGAATCCACACGAAATTTATCTCCAAAAGCAATGTTTTCCTGACCTGGGCTGCGTTCATATGATCTGGACCGCGTATCATATAACATTTACATCCCGACGTACAACATAAAATCCCCGACATATAACATGTAACAATACCGCCCCGTACGGCCGTACGCGCCCGTTACATGTGATACGTCGGAGATTATACGTTACATGTCGAGGACCCCCGTGTACGGCCGTACGGCGGCCCCGTACGGCGGCCCGGTACGGCCGTACGGGCCGGTTGTATGTGATACGTCGGGGATTATATGTTATAGGTCGGGGACCCCCGTGTACGGCCGTACGGCGGCCCCGTACGGCGGCCCGGTACGGCCGTACGGGCCCGTATGGTTGTATGTGATACGTCGGGGATTATATGTTATACGTCGGGGTCCCCCGTGTGCGGCCGTACGGCGGCCCCGTACGGCCGTACGGGCCCGTATGGTTATACGTTATACGTCGCGAATATATGTTATACGACGGGGACCCCCCTCGTACGGCCGTACGGGCCCGTGATTGGATATATCGCAATAGAACATTGCTCTTAAGCCCTGATAACACGAAATCGCTTTATGGGGGCTTTTTGCGAAGAAAAGAAAAAGAGAAGGAACATTCACCAGTGTTTGAACCCCGAGTTCAAACACTGGTGTTCGAACCCTAAGTTCGAACACCAGTGTTCGAACCTCAAATTCAAATACTGTGTTCGAACACCAGTGTTCGAACCCGGAGTTCAAACACTAGTGTTCGAACCCTAGGTTGGAACACCAGTGTTCGAACTTTGGGTTCGAACACCGGCCTCCAAGTGTTCGAACTGGAGTTGAACTGGAAGTTCCAATGTTCAACTTGGAGTTCAACTGGAAGTTGAACTTAGTGTTCGAACTAGAAGTTCGGAGACAACTACGGTGTTCGAACTCGAAGTTCAAATCCTTGAAGACTGTGTTCGGGGCCCCCTGATCGTCTAGAAAAGTGCTTTTTACAGACACCCTGGATACGAAAAGAGTTGAGGATCAAAATTCCGGCGTCTAGCCAGGAGAAGTCCCGATGGAAGTCTTCCACCATGCAGGCAGCAATCGCGATTTGAGGCTGGCCTATAAGAGAGACCGGCACCTCTAATCTCCAAAAACCGCAAGCCATTGTGCTCGACTGGCACGATCTTGACGAGTTGAAGGAGAGAAGCCGCATTAGGCTTGTGTGTTAGAGAGCACGAGCAGGACACCGCAGTGAAGAAGAGGAGTTGATTTTCAATCCTATAATGGTGCCCCTGTGTCTCGCCAAGGTCAGGAACACTTTCTGTTTTCTCCTTAGTGAGTTTTAGAGAACCTTAGGTGTAGTTGTGAACGGTAGGAGTAGGGAAAAGTTGTCTGTCTGT